TACCCGGTTTTTACAAGGTTCTCATTAACCTGATTTTCAACATAACTCACAAGTTATTCAGCTCAAACACAATAACATGAATAAATAAGACAACATGATAACCAATCCAAAACAGGTTCATCAAAATATTCTAAATCCAACATTCTAAAAAACATGAGCTTCAAAAACGTTTTATCATGTCTCAACCCAAAACAAGGTTCATAAAGACCAAAGCATTTATTCGAAAGCGTAAGCATAAATAAACATATTCAAATAACCGTCTCAGTCGTCTTTCCTCGTCACTTGGCACCTGCTTAATATGCATCCGTGAAGAGCAGGTGGAAGTGAGCACAAAATGAAACGTAGTGCTTACCACTATGCACATATACAATAATAACATGTTAAGATGGTATGGTCGCAGCATGAACACAAAATAATAACAACATGTCTTATCTCCTATCAAAATCACAACAATTCACATTACTTTTGTGCACATCTATCGCTAGCCGCAGAACGAGGATTCATTACCCGAAGGCGAGCGTACATGCAATGCTACGGACACGGCCTTCCATATGGGCTTACGTACCTCACAAGGGCACGGCCATATCAGGATTTAAGGAGACTTGCCTCACAAGGGCAACCATATTACATCGACGGGGACACCCGTACCGACGACCGTAACAACTCACATCGATAGGCTACATATTTCACACTCATACATTGATCATACCGACTCAACAAAGGAAACACATATGGCATAGCAAATTTTATAAGTAAAACTCACCTGGAAAATAGCAAAGGATATCACAAAGACAAGTGCAGGCAGCGAGCTCGGCTCGTCAAACACCTACAATAAGTCAATATACTACAATCAACACTTATCTTGACCTTTAAAAGGAACAAAAACTCATACTTAGTCGAATATGATTCAACATACGTTCGTGAAGTTCTGTGAACATAGGAACACTTGGACTCGACTTGAAACCAATTATGGCAACCACACCAATTTAAGTTGGTCAGACAAACGAAGGAGTTAGATTCTGAAACTTTAACATAAAATCCACCTTACTGAACTTAGCAAAACCACCAAATCTTAGCCCTTAACTTAAACACACAATTTTATAAGATTCAACCAAATTTGCAGCAAATACGAGCAAAATTTCAAAGCTGAACCATATGAATGAGCTAACCCTTGATATTTTTACACAAGCAGCTACAACATGTGAATACCAACATATAAAAATTTCAACTTTAAACACTTATCACACGAATTATAAAAATTCTGACAATATCCAGAAGAAAACTCGTTTTAATTAAAAACGTACATAACGAACCTAGAAAATTTTGAACCTTTTACGCCAAATAATACAACATAAAAAGAGCATGCTCACCAATTTTCACCAATTTACAGCAAAGGAATAATTTTACAAAACTAAAACGAGGTTCAACAGAAAACTAGGAAAATTAGTTCAACAATTATAAAATTTTTACACAACATCTAATTAATAAAGAGGAACAACATATTTAAAAATCAGCCATTTTGGAGTACAACTCGATTTTATATGCAATTTACAAGATTCTGCCCAGAAATCAAAATAGTTATTAAAAATAGCTATAGTTAGAATCAAATCATGAAATTTTTATACGACCTATATGAACATCAGAGTATACCACATACCAAATTTCACAGCATTTGGACAAGAACACAATTTATTATGAATTTAACGAGAATCAGCAACTATACGGGTTTAAAAAATTCATATACGACTCGAAACACAACGAGTTCGACCAAGACCTTCGCCATGAGGCCAAGGACTCGACAAAGATTCATTATCCACAGCCCTTTCATGTTTACGATAAGATTTAACATAAACTCACATTAATCAATAGAAATCCCTCGTAAATATAATTAAAATAAACTTATTAAGAAATTTATCACCAACCATGATCATAGTATAAAACACATGAACAAACGAGAGGAGAATCGAGTCTGGGTACCTTTTTGGGTAAAGGTACGCTAAACGAGTAATGAAAAGGGCCGATCGGGGCTGAACGGACTGTACGCGTGCACCGACGGGGCTCGACGGCTACGCTCGGCTCGCCGACAGAACACGGTGGCCGGTAAAAGCTGCTCGCGGAGGAGAAGGGCAGCGGCCTGTGGGTTCGAAACACACGAACAGTGTGGCCAGGGCTGGTACTTCTCGACGTGAGGTTACTGTGGTCGTCGACGGTGAGTTTGCGGATGGTCTGAACGTTCACGGTTGCGCCGAACAGCCACGTGAATGGCTCGCGAGCGGGACATACGTACTCAGGTCACGGAGAAGACGATCGAGACTGGTGGCCTGACAGCAAACGGACCTGCCGGTATTGGTGTCCACGAGGTTACTCGCGTGGTCCAATGCGCTCGACGGTGGACGTCCGCGTGAACAAATGACGAGAGGAAGTGGTTCGGCTCGGTAGCTGTCCTCGCGTGGGGTGCCGCTGTGATGAAGATCGCGTGTCCCGACTACTGATAAGCCGCTAGCCCGTGCCTTGAATCGCCGATAGGGGTTCTTCGAGCCACAACATCGCCTCTTGGAACGAATAAAATTGCAGTAAAATTTTGGTGAAAAACTAAAGCAAAGTGGAAGAACAAAAGTTCAGATTTCTATTCATAAAATTGATGATGGAAAATAACATGGGGGATGGCCTTTGTATAGGCACAAATTATATCTAGTCCTAATCTACCTAGGGAACTATTAAAGCAATAAAATATTAAGTATCCTAATTAAACTGTAAATCATTAAGCAATAAGGG